TTTTCGTCGTTCATCACGTCGTAGTATCAGATCTTGGAAAATGCGGCACAGTGTTTTGCGCTAGCGCCGCGCTAGCACGGCGCTAGCAAAATGTCAACGCAACCTCCCCCGGCAGACCATGGCCCATTCCTCCACCACAAAGGAACACCATAGAACCGAGAGTGCTATGCTTGCTGGAGCTCGAGCCCCGCAAGTGGCGACAGCGGAGAAACTTTCGCTCGCGCTAGAACTCCAGCAGTAGCAGCATGTAGCGGTAACACTAGCAGTTCTTGTGACGACTCGTCCGACAGCAGCGCCTGAAAAATGGTCCGCGCTAGCACCCTTTCTAGGAAATCGTGCTTGGATCCTTCAAATGTCGTGTTTGCTACTCCATCTCAATCAGCTTCTTTTTCCTTCAGGACATGAGGCGGCACCGAGGGAGTTCCGATTTAACGTCAATTTCGGGAGCAAGCATTTTGACAACAACCCATGTAGTTGCATGAATGGAGGTCGGGTCGGCTGCCGAGGAGAACATGTTGCCTACATCCACCATGGTAGCATACAGGTAGCAAGTGAATGCGCCCGCCCACATGTGCTCGCCGCGGCTTCTTTCAAGTACAATCCTACTTCATTCTGCCAGTGTTTTCACACATTGTTTTTGTGTGGTAGTTTTAGACGAAATCTATGTTTGAAGCATGAACTCAGTTCTTTTGATCCCATGACGATGGTCGGGAGCCCATGATGCAGCCAGGCACAAGGGCTTACGGCGTCTTACGGGCGCGCGCCGGTCTTCGCAGGGCTTGAGGGTTGTGAAAGGGTTTTGTGAAGGTTCTGGAAAGCTTCCTGTAGGGTTCGGAGAAGGCTTCACAGGGCTACTGGGCGTCTGGGGCGACTCATTGTTGAGACACCCCTCTTCGGCTCTCCGACAGCAAGGCCGAGCCCGACTCACAACGTACTCATGAAGATTGGCGACTGCATGCTTGGGGTAGGGGTTGGGGGTGACGTGACAAGGTGCGGTTGAGTTGGGCTCAAGGGTTGGAGTTCATAGACACGCAGCTCAACTCCGAATTTTTGATAGGCCCCTCTTCGGTTCCGACAGCAAGGGAGGACACGCGTTTCAGACACACGTTGGTGATCTGCTGCGTTTATGTGCCCAGCTCAAGCTCTGGTATCTGGCAGCGAAGACAGACCACACATTGACAGGGTGGAATTGTCTTCGTCGTAGACGGTGAAAAAACCTTCATCGGGACATGGCCAGATCGGCATTCAGCATGGCACTGGTAGACAGGCATCGCCGGCAGTGGCCGGGAGGACTTGACGAAGCTTTTGCTAAGCGTGGGGCTTGACAACACGTTTCAGGCATTGAACTGCATTCAGCTCCCTGCTCTGTCACCTTGCCTGCCCCCCGGATGCGGCCCCATTCCACAGTTTATGTGGGGGTCAAGGACAAGCAGAAGCTGCTGGAGGAACTGGATGAGGCGCGCAGGGACTTATGGGTTACTGGGTTTAGGGTTTGAACTGGAAAATTAAGGTGGTTTAGGCTTCCCGCGTCTGCGAGCGAGAGAGAGGGAGAGAGAGGCTGGGAGTAGGGTTAGGTTAGGGTGTTAAGATTTGGGCGTGTGGGGGGCGGGGGGGGGGGGGGGGGGTTTAGTCGTGTCCTTGACAGGGTTCAAGGTCTCACATGGGAACCCTTGAACGGAGCCCAGGAATATTGTCGGCGTAGAGCAGGAATAGGTGCGTTTTCCCACCAAACGGCCTGTGCTCCTGCGGCTCCGTCTATGGGGTTCAGCGGGGTTCTTATCCCTTATCCCTGAACCTCAAATCCCAGGGTCACCGACGTTGTCTATTTTTGCTGGCATTGTCTATTGGATCATGGTATTGTTTCCCTGCGCTGAGAAGGCCTTGCAGTGGATTCAACACACGAGGTAGCGGATGTACTTGGGGGGGACGATATTTGTTCATGCCTTTGTTGAACGAGACCCCAGACCCGAACCTTTGATGCTCATGATATCTCATGATTCAAAGTCTCGACTTCTCACATATCATATCCCTTGCCAAACGTGAACACGTGCGCGTTCTGTTGTCTCCGGTGCCAGTCCCAAGGTTCCTGGGAAACACCGGGTCACGCCGAGTCCCCGATTGGCGGCGATGCGCGAACTACTCTGTTCTCAGCTGAGTCGCGTGGACAAGCTTCAGCAACATCTGCCAGCAGTGCAGGCTGAGTGCAGGCTCGCAATCAACGCACATAGGTTGCTGGCAGTGCGCGCAGATCACTGCAACATGTTTGCGCGTTGGGTTTTCAACGCACAAAGCTGGACCTGTTGCTGCGACAAACGGCTGTGCTCAGGTCGACAGTGGGACTTTGATGATTGATCCGGCCAAGCTCTCAAGGAAATCTAAACATGCAGCTGTTGTAGGGCTTGTTGGCGGGATGAGGTTCTATTATGTTTCAGTCTGTGCTTTTGAGATTCATCAGAAAAGAACCACTTGATTGGCTTGCATTCCATCCGAATGCCTCTCTGAGCTATCCTGTGAGGATGCCCAGCAGATCTCGGGCACAGTCTGGTGGATGCCGCTGAACGAAACTGAGGCCTGGGTTGTGGTGTGTGTGCAAGACCTGCGGCGACCTATGTTAAGCAGTTAAGCAGCTGCTCAGGCATGCGCAGGCGCGTGACAAAATCCAAACCGTGCCTGGTTCATGACGGCTCTTGAGCCACATGGCTGGCTGTTGAGTTGAAACAAGTCGTAGTCGTGGCTGTCGTAGCTGTCGTAGCAGCAGTCGTCGTCGTTGTAGAATTGCCTGCTCGATGATAAGAGATGTTTAAGTATTTTGTGCATCAACCCCCCCCCCCCCCCCTGCCCCGGTGATGTGGTTGGCTTTGGGGCCCGGCTCGCCAGCGTTCCCCGGCCCCTCAAGTTGACCCACGTTTGTTGGTTGGTGCGCAATCCGCTTCTGAACAAACTGCATGTGGAAGAGCTTTGCGGGCACCCGATTGCTGTGCAACAAAAACACGCGGCTCCAGGAAGAAAGCGGCTGAACGCACAGGCATTTCATCGTCCCATGTTCGTTCATTAGCGCCAAGTCGGCTTTCGAAGACAAACGTGGAGCCGTCCCATGGAGGCGGCCCTGCGCTGTTCAACGCTGAAGACACGACTCCGGGGGGAAAACGCTGAACGTGGTGGTGGGAGAGTTTCCTGCTAAGCGTGGCATCTCCAAGCCCAGCACTTGAAGTTTTTTCTCACATGTTGCAGGGGTTGCTCATAGGCAAGAGCTTCAATGCTCACATGGGCAAGACCATGCAAGACCTGAACCAGGGGCATGGTTTTGCAGCAAGCCTACAGCAAAGCAGTGAGCAGCAGATTATCGAGCAGATCAGCACCTGATGCAGCACCAAAACGATCAAGCAGCGTCGAGGCATGACAACAGGGCTTGATGCACGTACATTTGAGTGTTTATGTTCATTCAGTTTCGGCCGCAGCTGATCACAGAGCGGTTCAAGAAACTGATGACAAGAGAGGGTAGGGTGAGGTAAGGCCTACCACGGCGGCAGGTACACACGCAACACCCAGGTGACCACAACGTACACTTCCAAAGAACAAGACGACCAGACGCGACGTGCACTTCCAAAAGCCCGGCGGCCACACGCTGCACACACTTCCAAGAACCAGGCGGCCACGACTTACAAGCACCATCCATGCCCACAACAGTAGGTACACTTCGAAGGACCAGGCGATCACGAAGGTAGGTAAGGACAGGGGGATTTGCCACTGAGGTACGGAATTCGTGGCAACTCGGAACTCGATGTAAAAGTAGTTCTGCCGTATGGCAAAAAGTCCGTGCCGCGTTTGTTCGGGCGTGTTCACAAGCGACATCGGCAACACAAGAAGCCAGTCCCCCCCATGAGCGCCTGCTGCGCAAAGTTCTTGCATGTCTTGTCTGGTTTGCCCCTCTCGATTGATATTCGGACTTTTGCGGAAGAATCCACCTTTCAGACTAGATTCGGGCACTTCCGCATGTTTCCGTCTTCTTCCCGATTCGCTTCCGGGTGTTTTGGTCTTTCATGTTCGGACATTTTAAGGATTTTCCGTCTTGTTCCTGGTTCGCTTCATATTCCTTCATTTACTGATGTGCCCGCTTTGAAAAATGTTTCGGACATGTCCGGATTTGTCCATCTTCTTCTCGAGTCGTTTCGTTTTCCATCATTTCCGGCTGTTTCCGTCTTGCATATTCCGACACTGCTGCGTTTTTTTCACTCGGAAGGCTGCGCTGTCAACCAAACTACAGCAAGGCACTCTAGGACCCTATGCCCTAAACCCTAAACCCTAAACCCAGTCTCCAGCCTGAAGCCCTGTCCGCCTCCGGTCCACCCCGGTCCTGTCGTCAAACGCCCTAGCCCTAAAACCCAAGCCCTATGTAGAACACCCTAAGTCCTAAACCCGCAGGCCCCGAAGCCCTAGAAGCCCCTAAACAGACCTCAAAAACCCCCAAATACCTCAACGGTTGGGCACCCCTGCACATTCCACCAGCTTCCTGCAGGCAAGTCCGATCCTGGCTATCCTTTCCTTGTGGCTTTCCATTGCCAGGGCCCCAGAAAGTAACGGGGTGACTCTAGCCATGCCAACAGTTCATGGTGCCATGTTGATCACATGATGGCAGTGGCGTTATGCCCATCCAGAAATCTCTCAACGTCTTTCTTCGCCAGCCCCTTCGTGCAACACTTGCACGACCACCTTAATTCTGAGCAGTTTGAAGGGGGGGGGGCGTTTGAAAGGCAAGCCTTTGACCCTGATTTGAACTGCAAATGTGAGGGACCCCCAGGATGTTCCAAGCCTGTGCCTCCAAAGAGGGCATGGAGGAGGTAAGGGTAAGTACCGAAGGGTATCGTTCAGCATGCCGGGTAGCCTAGTTCGGTGCATCTCCTTGGACACAATGCGTGCGAGGGAACATTACAGTCTTGCCTGTAAGCTTCTGCAATGCTACATTGTGCTGGTGCTTGACAGTGGCCCAAGTGAGAGTTGCCATGCACGGCATGAAGAGGCGCAAGAGGGAGTGCGCTGAGCAGAATGTCAAGCAGGAGTGTACGACGGACCCCGAGCGGGACTTCAAGCAGGAGTGCGACGAGGATCCTGAGCGGGACTTCAAGCAGGAGTGCGTGGAGGACCCTGAGCAGGACTTCAAGCAGGAGCGTGAGCAGGACTTCAAGCAGCAGTCCATGGACGAGCCTGCGCAGGAGTTGAAGCAGGAGCTTGAGCAAGGGGATGTTCAGTATGAGGAGGTTCAGGAGCAGGGGGATGCTTTGCAAGCTCAGCCAAACAAGCGGAACGAGCCTGCCGCCGCCTTGTTGGAACGCATACGCACTGGACAGCTTGCAACAACTGCTCAGACCATGAGGAGTCACATCGGAATCTCAGACGCGGAGTGGCAACGCAAGACTGGGAAGGATGCACTGACAAGCTTCATGACAAGATACATGAACAAGCATGGGGCGCGTTGGCACTATGAGCACCAGCAGCGTTTCCAGGACAACTGCTGGGTGGCCACTTTGGTAATCCCATCCTTGTCCGGGTCCGGGCGTCGCTTCACCGGCACCTGGAGATACAGCCAGGCTGCTGCCGAAGAGACTGCGTGCGTCACTTTTCAGTTCGACGAGCAGGTCCAAGAGATTCGCCGGAACTTACCGCCTACAATGAAGAAAATCAAAGATTACATATCACTCGACACGAGGCGAAAGAAAGAGCTGGCTGCATTGGGCTATACGCCTGCCGTCGTGCAGCATGACATGGTTGCACAGGCATACAACGGCTTCAGGTCACTGGGCTGCAGAACGGCCGAGTGGGATGGCTGGCAATGGGATGGTGATGATGGCGCACGCCCTTGAATAGATCTGCCTAGCCGGAGTCTTCGCGGGTTGGAAAAAGCGTCGCTCCCTTTGCTGTTGCAAGTGCTGATGGTTTGAGAGTTTGGGCATGGTTGCTCAAGTTGGATCGCCGGATGCCTCAAACGTTCAAGGTATGAAAGAGGGTCAGGGTTAGGTACGTAGTCCCACCAAACGACCTATAGGTGACCTATGTTCCTGCGTCTCCATCTATGGGGTTCATCGGGGTTTTTATCCCTTATCCCTGAATATCAAATCATAGGGTCACCGACGTTGTCTGTTTTTGCTGACATTGTCTATTTGATTATGGTGTTGGTTTCCCGGCGCCAAGAAGGCCTTGCAGTGGATTCAAAGCACGAGGTAGCGGATGTACTTGGGGGGACGACAGTTGTTCGTGCCTTTGTTGACGCCTCCGCGCTCGAGACCCCGGACCCGAACCTTGGATGCTCATGATATTTCATGATCCAAAGTCTCGACTTCTCACATATAGATCCCTCGCTAAACGTACACACGTGCATGTTTTTATCTCCGGTGCCAGTTTCAAGGTTCCTGGAAAACAGCTGGTCATGCCGGGTCCCCGGCCGGCGGCGAAGCGCAAACGACTCAGTTCTCACCTGAGTGCATGGACAAGCTTCAGCAACATCTGCCAGCAGTGCAGGCTGAGTGCAGGCTCGCAATCAACGCACATAGGTTGCTGGCAGTGCGTGCAGATCACTGCAACATGTTTGCGCGTTGGGTTTTCAACGCGCGAAGCCACAAAGCTGGACCTGTTGCTGCGACAAACTGCTGTGCTCAGGTCGACAGTGGGACTTTGATGATTGATCCGGCCAAGCTCTCAAGGAAATCTAAACATGCAGCTGTTTGTAGGGCTTGTTTGCGGGATGAGGTTCTAATGTGTTTCAGTCTGTGCCGTCGAGATTCATCAGACAAGCACCACTTGATTGGCATCCTAATGCCTCTCTGAGCTATCCTTAGGCCTTAGGACGCCCAGCAGATCTCGTCCACAGTCTGGTGGATGCCTCTGAGCGAAACTGAGGTCGGGTGCTGTGGTGTTTGCAAGACGACGACCTGCGGTAGCAATGTTAGGCAGTTAAGCCGCTGTTCAGGCATGCGGAGGCACACGACAAAGCCCAAGCCGTGCCTGGTTCATGACGGCTCTTGAGCCAGATGGTTGGCTGTGTTGAAAGAAGAAGTAGTCGTGGCTGTCGTAGCTGTCATAGCCGTAGGACTTGACGAAGCTTTTGCTAAGCGCCGGGCTTGGCAACACGTCTCAGGCATTGAGCTGCATTTAGCTCCCTGCTCTGTCACCTTTGCCTGCCTCCCGGATTGGGCCCCATTCCGCAGTTTGTGTGGAGGTCAAGGACAAGCAGAAGCTGCTGGAGGAACTGGATGAGGCGCGCAGGGACTGATGGGGAGCTGGGTTTGGGTTTGAACCGGGTTTTGGCGTGAGGTGGTTTAGGCTGTTTAGGGTTGCATGGGTTAGGTCAGGTTAGGGTGTTAAGATTTGGGCGTGTGTGCGGGGGTGGGGGATCAGCCATGTCCTTGACAGGGTTCAGGGTCGCACTTGCGAACCCTTGAGCGAACCCAGGAACAACAATTCTCAAAAACAAGATCGTGCATGTACCGAGGGGGGACGCTCGTCCGTTGATTTTCTGTTCGTATCCTATATCCCCCTTGGGAATCATTTGTATATTTTTGTTTATATAAAACCCAAGAGGATATTAAAGATGACTATTTTTCATTTTTGTTTACATAAAACCCAAGAGGATATTTAAACATATTATGTTTATTGAGGTTCTAAGGGGAGTATCGTATCCCCGGTAGCAGCTTTAGCGATGTCAGGGACCGGCGCGTGGTCTCGGTGCAGAAAAGCCTTAGTTTGAAAGGCTTTAGGGTTTAGGGTTTAGGGTTTAAGGTTTAGGGCTTAAGGGTTCAGAAGAGTCTGCTATCTGGGCTTGAGAGCTCCACCTATCCCAGCAGGTATGGGCTTTGATACGTAGGCTTGGACGCTTGTATCTCCCCTGACCTCTCTGCCCTTGGAGTCACTGGTTTCTCCCTGTGGGTCAAAAAACATTGTTGGCCTGGGTGTAACCCTAAGCCCCAAACAGGGTGTGCGGGTGGTTCGTCCATCTACGCAGAGAGGTCAGCGAAGTGGCAGAAAACCGTAAACCCGAAGCTGACAACTGAACACCCCAAAGAAATCTCGTTTGTCACAGGTGGAGTTTAGTCTTCTAGTTTCTTCGTTGTTGAGCTGGAGCCTTGGAGACGGTGGGTGCTGGTTCGCGTAGGCGTATGTAGTGCAGGTGGCACAAACAAATCGCAGGGTCCGTAAACCCTAAACCCTAAACCCTTAACCCTTAACCCTTAACCCTTAACCCTTAACCCTTAACCCTGAACCCTGAACCCTGAACCCTAAACCCTAAACCCTTAACCCTTAAACCTTAACCCTTAACCCTAAGGTTACCAGCCATTGGGGAGCCAAGTCAACAAAGCCAGGCAAGGTGCCCACCCTCGGCCCGCGGAAGGCCTTGCTCAGGGTGTTGTCAGGGCGTTTGGCGTTTTGGGGTGCAGGGTATAGTACCGGGTATAGGGCTTTCTGAAGAGATTTCATTTAGGGGCGTGTGCCTGTTCGTCCGTGTCCCACTCTGCGTCTTGTTCTGCTCTATGATGCATTTCCCCCTGCGTTTCCGCTCAAAAAGCATTCAATTAGTTGACGGAAGTCACCGAAGCTTTCCTCATCCTTTTTCTTGAGCGTCCCCATGGCGCCGCGCGCATGCTTGCTTCTGGCGCTGTTGGCAGCTTTTGTCAGTGGCCCGGCCTATGTGGTGGCTGAGAGCTGCACTACAGGAGGCTCCGGCAAGGGCCTGGCCCTGGTGCAAAGGACCCGCTTGTTGAGGACAGGGGTTGGTCAGCAACATCATACAGACATTCGGTGATGTTCAGATACTGCTGCCATTGCTCCCTCAAGCCATGCATTCTTAACATCTCTTAACGTTCTCAAAGGTCGCAGGCTCAGAGGTCACCATGTCTTTCGGACCTGCAGGACGAAGTATGCCACAGAGCACGAAGAGCTCGAAGAGCATGATCGAGCGGGCATTCCCTTGGGTGGAGTGCATCGCAGTCACGGTGAAGGTCGGCGTGTACCACCCGGAAAAAGTCAACAGTCACCATTAAAAGCCCAAAAGCGGCCAAGGAAAATGCTGATTAGCCACTTTTTACAAAAGGTCACCGGTGCTGGTGGCACCCCTATCACGTGCCCGGGGCCCTGGCCCTAAACATCAGAGTACTGCAAAGGCCTCCTTGAGCCCCCGAACTTGCACTCGAATCCATTCCTATACATCGCCACAATCCCGTGCCAGATCCTCATGACGACATGGGCGACCTTCTTCAAAGCTTGGTGGCCACGGCCGTGCGAGAGGGAAGGAACCTCACGCCAGTGGAGCGCCAGGCCAGACGTCTTTGCTTTCTGTTCAGGGATTCCCTTTCAAGACGCCGATGCACGCGCCTCTTTAGAAGCCCTAGGGCTTGACTGCTAGGACCTGATTGCTGAGATCTAGGAATATTGTCTTAATTTGTCGGCCATAGACCATATAATTAGGCCCCAAACCATAGCATGGGGCTCGTCTAGGTGCCGTAGCAGGCCCTGCACTTTGGGGGGTGGGGGGCATCGCTCATGAGGTCTTGACAAAAGTAGGATCATCAAGGAATGGAAACGAAACGAGAGTCGCCTGTAGCAGTGCGCTACAATGCCGCTGGCATCGCTCACCATTGAAAGGAAGCTGTTGATTTTTCAGTCTTGACTGTTTAGGGTTTAGAGGCTCGTCAAGGTTCAGTTTCTACATGTCAGGCCTTCGACGATATGAAGGCGGTGCTTGAAAACACAACCGTGGCAAAGCTGCAGGAGCGGGGGGGGGCGGAGGAAGGGTGGGTTGTCAACCCCTATCCCTTCTGGCCCTGAAACACGTGCTGGCACTGGCAACGCAGCACGGATGCACTTAAGCGGATCTCCCAGAAGTTCCCACAATTCTCCTAGGCCCACAACGAGGGCCATTGTTCGCTGCCCCCCAGCCCTCGTACAGGACGCTGCGACGGCTGACCAGCAGTCCCTTCAGGACATTGCCCAAGCCATGCAGGACCGCTGAGCCAGACCAGGGGCTGCGTAGTGTAGTTCAGAAACCTACTATTTGCTTAAGAACCTCAAAAAAACTAAGAAATACTAATCCCTATCTTGCCCTTATAAGGAACAATATTTTGATATTTTGGGGTTCTTCAGCATTTGTAGAAACTTTAGCCACGAAAGGCCAAAAGGTTTTGTTCAACATATAGACAGGCTGTATCTCCCACCAAAGGCCGCACTAAATGAGGACAGGGGGCCCAGATCAAGAGGCCTCTTTGGACCTTAGACAGGACTGCGGATTGAACCTGACCTCGCAGAACACGACTCTGCAGTTGCAGAAAAGCCTGGCAATTGCGGCCCACGATGCCTACATGGAGGCCGAAATGGATCTCTCCGGTGGCTTAGGCTGTCTAGGGTTTGGGCTGTTTAGGGGTTTAGGGTTTAGGGTTCAGGGTTTAGGGGTTTAGGGGTTTAGGGTTTAGGGTTTAGGGTTTAGGGTTTAGGGTTTAGGGTTTAGAGGGTTTGGGGCTAGCAGGCAAGCTGCGTATCTTCCCACCACAGCCTTTTCAAGTCCCCACTGTGGCCTTCGGCATATGCGGTAAGCCCTAAACCCTAAACCCTAAACCCTGAGCCCTGAGCCCTAAACCCTAAACCCTAAACCCTAAACCCTAAACCCTAAACCCTAAACCCTAAACCCTAAACCCTAAACCCTAAACCCTAAACCCTAAACCCTAAGCCGATTCTACCCGTAGTAGCAACGCAGCCTGTTGCCAGCGTGAAGAGGCCAGCCTGGCGGCCAACTCGACTGCAGTGGTGCTGGCCGAGACTTACTGTTGGTTAGCAGGGAATGGGGGGGAAGTTTGGTACCCTATGTAATCCCTGAAAGGGTAGAGATATATTTATATATACCCTAATTCCCCCAGGTACCCTATGTCATCCCTTAAAGGGTAGATATAGGGCCCTAATTCCCCCAGGTACCCTATGTCATCCCTTAAAGGGTAGATATAGGCCCCTAATCCCCTCAGGTACCCTATGCAATCCCTTAAAGGGTAGATATAGGGCCCTTCCCCCAGGTACCCTACATAATCCCTTAAAGGTAGATATAGGGGGCCTAATTCCCCCATTTCTTGCTAACAGAAAGGAGAGAGAGCTCGCAATGTCCACCTTCATGGCCCAGTCCCCGCAACCGACCGTGGCGACGAACCAAAGTCATTCTGCGGAGCTGGTGAGTGAAGTGCGGCGCCTGGTGGAAGCTCGGTTTAGGGTTTAGGGTTTAGGGTTGAGGGTTCTGGGTTGAGGGTTTAGGGTTTAGGGTTTAGGGTTTGGGGGAGTTAGAATATGACTCGGTTTCCAGTTTTGTGTTGTTTCGGGGCTGCGAGATCTTCATGGGTTTCTTGACTTGCTTGGCCCTGGTACACCCTACGCCTGAAATCCTAGGAGTGGGCTACAGATTACCTTCAGCATGCAGATGCCTTGGAAGCTGCCTCCAATGAGAGTGACACGCACCTGGCCAACCGCACTGCTCAGCAAAAACTCTGGGAAGAGGCCTACTGCGCATGGCTGGCGCAGAAGGAGTTGATGCTGACCTCCTACAACTTGTGCCTGGGGCTTTCGGATTTCGTAGTTTTAAACTAAACCCTAAACCCTAAACCCAAAACCCAAAACCCAAAACCCAAAACCCTAAACCCTAAACCCTAAACCCTAAACCCTGCGGGCTGCAAGGTGCTGGCAGGCATCCGCACAGTCCTACAACTCCACGCTCCTCGGTGTCCAGGCAAACACTGAGGCTCGCAGACTGGCCTTGGCTACCATCCTCAAGCTGACGTGTTTCGTCGACGTCATCGGCTCGCCTACTGAGGAACAAGAAGCAAAGCTGAATGTTTGTGAGACGCAGGACTACAACACCAGCGACATCGATCCTTTGTCGTTGTGGGGTAACATTTTACATGTTTAAGGGCACTTAAACTCAATAAGGAAGAGAATCAGAAGTTTAAACCTTTTCATACTATCCCAACCATGAACGAGGATGTTACCGAGCCAGTTCTTCCGGAAAAGACCGACTTGAGCACTGCCACGCAGTTCGATGTGGAGGCGGATTTTGATTGCGGCCCGCCCACAACCACTTCGGCTGCCACGGTGGCTCCGACCACCACGGCCGCGGCTACTACAACTACAGCCAGTACCACGACAGTCTCAGCACACATCGTGTTCAGCGACACCAACGGTGGAAGGTTGATTCGGTGCTGGGCGCCCTTCGATGGCGCGGATGGGTCTTGTGAAGAGCTCATTTCCACTGACCAGTTCCTTGGCGGGACCACATGAAGCCCCAAAACTGGGGTCATATACCCTATACTGCTGTAATTGCTATTACTCAACTTCCTCTCAAGGTATATGATGGTATATGAGCCATAAATTACCCATAAACCCCTTTTAGGGGGCTCATTGTGGTCAGGTTCGAGGCCACCTGGGGCTTCACGCAGGCTGCAGATGGCGACTTCGTGGTCGTGGATGGTCCGGACCACACCGTCAAGAAGTGCACGCCGGGAGGAAGTTGCGAGGTGGTCGTGGGTGAGAGTGGGGTGGCTTCCAAAACTGCTACAACCCTGAATTGGCCCAAGGCCGTCGCCATTGACGGTAGCAACTATGTCGTCGTGGAGCGGGGCAATCACCGCTGCCAGCGATGCCCGATGTCGGGGGGCAGCTGTGAGACCATTCTCGAGGGTCTGAACAATCCCACAGATGTGGTTCTTGCACCCAATGGCAACTACCTCATCACTGAGCACAATGGCATGCAGGTCAAGAATTGCACCCCGGTCGTCGGCTCAGAGTGCACCACGCTGATCGGAAAGGGTGTGCGGAACGACCTGTACTTCCCCGGCGGCCTCTCAATCGCCAGCGATGGCCACTACATCGTTGCGGACATGCACCACGTTTTCGACTGCGACCCCGACGCTTCGGGTCCCTGCACCCAGGTGATCGGAGGTCAAGGAACTTCGAATACGCAGCTGAACGAGCCATGGAAAGCAATCAAGACACCCGAGGGAGATTACATTGTTGCGGACAACAGGAACAACCGCATCTGGGTTGTGCTTAGGGGGATAATTTCTAATTTCCCTTCTTTCCTTCTAAGGGAACCTATTCACCAATCATTTTCCAAGGGTTTAAAGCACAACTCAGGCATCCAGAAGTGTCCACCAACGCCTGGCCAGGCTTGCACCACCGTGGCGGGACTGGGCAAAGGCGGTATGAACATTGGCATGCCTCGTCTCGGCCTGATGTATTTCCCGCGCTGAGGCATTAAAAATGCCGCCTGTTTGAATCTCTTGAGCCGTGAGAAACATCCGAGTGACCTGGCACAAAGCCCTTGCACCAGCTGTGTTTCTTTGCAGCTCATGTTGTGTCCACAAGTGACTCTAGATGCGCAGGTGTGGCTGTTTTGAATCGCCTGCCAAGCCCTTGCTATAGAGTCTGGGGCAGCTCGTACTCAACGGATGCAGAAAAGGATTCTGGCTTTGTGGCTGCTGTGGTTTAAGCCGACTTTCAGATCGAACACAGCAAGGTGTAGTCAATATTTACAGACTTGTTTATATACTTTTCATGTTTTCTACGATTTATAGAGTTAACTAGGGAAGCCAACCACAGTAAGGGGTAAGGTGTAGCCCACACTTAAACAATAGGAGTTTCCGAAGCGAGCTGCGATCCAGCCTGCACTCCAGCCTGCGGCAGGCCCTGCAGCGTCTGCCGCGCCCCTCTCAAGGCGTCAGGGCTGCATGGCGTCCGTATTCTTATTATTAGTATTGCTACTATTACTACTATGATTATATTGCTACTACTTTTATTATTGCTATTGTTATACTTATTATAATCATTATTGTTCTATGATGCAAAGGCAGGCAGTCTGGGAAAATAGGCGCGGGATGGGACAGGGGCTTTCACGTCGCAAGTGGATGGCCACGGACCCTCACTTAGCTTGGGCGAGGGCATCATCTGGTATCATTGTCTGATTTCTGATGTTCCACACAGCTTCGGAAGCAGAGGTTCGCTGGCGGTGCTGAGGTGAAGGCTTGCACTACCTGATAGATGAGCGGAGAGTCAAGCTTTTCGATGACTGGCTGAGTTCCATCCAAAGCACTCCGAGCTGTTTGAAGTAGTAGTCGCCTCGTGCAATTCTTGGTACTGGTAAGGGCGACGTTGAAAGGACCTTTTCTCCATTTCTCACGTAGAAGTGGCTATGTGCTATGTCTGTCTGCAGAAGAAACTGTACGTATACCAATATACACACTTACGAGACTGACCCTGAGATTGCACCACCCCATCCTCATGTGAAAAATATTCACCATTGTGGCCAAACATGCTAGAATACAGACCCTAAACCTCCAGGTTGCCCGAAGATCTGGGCTTAGGGGACACCGAGCGGCACCCGTGCATTTGGTGGTGCTGCGCGAGCTGTTTGTGCTACGCCTGTAGCTGACAGTCCATGAGACCCCTCGGAGGCATCGGAAGGGGACCGAGGAGCTCTTGCAGAATGCTGTGACTACGGTCTTTGTAGGTCTGCTGGGGCCTTGGGTTAAGGCCCGGGACTTGGCAGAACCCAGAGGTCCCTGTCTGGCGAGCTAAGCTTGAGCTGTACAGAGTGGTGGCGGCACGATGAAGGTAAAAGAATGCCGACAGAGCTTGACCAGTGCTTGACCTTCGCATTGGAGTCACGGAGATTTTCTACATTAGCTCAAGAACTGCAACGCGTGGACATCAGCTGGAACCTCACAGCAAGCCAGTGACATCTTTGCTACCTTTTTAGACCTCAGGCATGCGCGGCATGGGTGCATTCTCTTTTAATCAAAGGGTTTCTTGAATGAACGCCTGTTAGGGGCAAGTGTGCGGACACCGCTCCTTTTCGGGGGTTTGCTCAACTGCCGTAAAACTTCACCTAGCTGCCTGAGCCGACCTTTGCGAAAGCTCAGTTGCGAGCCACTTGCGGTTTGCGGGGTAGATTCGCAGACTGAATTTCAGCAGTATACGCTACATCCGCCCGTATAACTTCGGTCGTGTGCTTGTTTTAGATGGGGTAGCACTAGAGTGATGATGAATGGTTGGTGAAACAACGTCCTTGTGGTAACAACCACCTCGTTAATGTACAGTATCTTTGGCTCAAGCAAGAGAACGGCACCCTCGAACTCGCATATCAAACGTCCTGCGAGCAACATGGGCGCGGCTTGATTCGAAAAGTAAGCAGGTAGGGATAGTTGAGGCTTCAAGCTGCTTTTCAAGAGCTCTGGGCATTGGTGCTAGCATGATTTGGTGTGTACATGCGTAGTGGTGGCGTGTCTGGTGCATGTCTCACGTAGAAGTGGCTATGTGCTATGTCTGTGTGCAGAAGAAACTGTACGTATGCCAAAATACACACTTACGAGACTGACCCTGAGATCGCACCACCCATCCAATTGGAAACAATGTTGCAGTAGTTGAGGGTCAAGTATGCAGTGAGTTCCAACAGTAGCGTGCAAGCCAAGTGTGACGTGCTTGTGGCCTAAGATCTTCGACTGGGCTTCGCTGGAGCAAGCTGAGGCCCGCAAGCGGCATGCAAGTAAACATGCAAGCCTAAGCCATGGCCTCTGCAATGTCACACATGAGGCAATCCAGTAACGAAGCCAGCAACCTGTGGGCTTGACTCTGGTTGAATGCTTCAACCTGCTTGAGGAACAGAGCATGCGCCAAGCACGTTTTATGTTGCGTGTTGTCCACATGTCGAGCCCAGCATGCTCAGCTTGGGATCTTACAGCCTCGGCAACCAGCGCTTTGTCAGCATGTGTTTGAACGGGTATCTCCCCAGCCTCACTCCAAGGTGAGCAACTATCTGAGTTGTCGTTATAAGTTGTCGTTATAAGAAGTTTTACATGTTTATAGAGTCGGATAGATATGTCACCCTCCTCCCCTTCGAGTTCCTCTCAAGACCCTCCCGGCAATGTCTTTAAGGCCCCCACAGGCTCAGCTGGTTTTCGTGGGTAGTTTTCAGATTGTTCACAGGAAAGTTGCATGAATTCCGGAAACTTGCAGGAGGCAGCGGCTGCCAAGGATTTGGTCTTGGAGGTGCCACATGGCCCTAGGTTGTGGTAAGCTGTCAACTTGCAACTGATCCGAGGGAGTTCCGTAGCATGCTTGCGGGTCTCTGGAGTGAGCACGCAGTGGGGATCACTTTTCCAGTGCGGGCCCAGTTGTTTTTGCGAATAGTACTTTCAATAAATTCAATCCCTGAAGCTTTTTCATTCGTGGCATGGCCAAATTCCGGCTTGCGCGTAGTTGCTAGATCACGTTAGAAGAGTTCCGCGACATGTTGTGGAGTCTGATTCATGAGCAACTAGTAGCTTAATCACAGGGAAGCAGGGTATACACGTACAAACTCCGCACTTCCTCCGCGTGCTACGTCGGTGCTGCGAGATCATGAACCTCCCAACATTGGGGTACCCCCTTTATACCCCAAATAGAAGAGGATCCCCTTAAACAGGACCCTAAACAGGGCACCCCGATTTCCGGAAACCCCCCACATTTGCACTGCAAAAGTCGCTTCTGAAGCCGCTGAAGCTCGGGAGGTTGGCAGTTGCTGGCATCAGACCTGCAGATATGGGGGTTGAGAAATAGGGGACCCCCAAATATAGACCCCCAAATAGTAGGATCCCCTCAAAAAAAAACCCAATAAGGGTACCCCCGTTATCGTAAACCCCCATGTGGCTGCAACTTGTTTTCTGCAAAAATTGTGCTTCTGAAGGAGGGGTTGCATGCGTGCCCTGTTCTTCTTGGACGTGCAGCTTTCTGTGCTGGCCAGAAGGAGGCGCTACAGTAAATTAGATGGCCACGTGGAATCATGGTATTGATGGTGTGCAATGACAAAGACACATCCGAGCTATAGCTTGAGTTCCCTACCGGTCCTTTTGCATCCACTGAGTTTTTGTTGCAAGTTCTTTGTTTGCACCGATTTTGTGGAGGTGTCTCTTGGTTTGCAGTGTACGTGTCGCACGAGACCGTGAGTTGCGGGACATTCCGGCCTTCCGCAAGATGTTTGGCGCAGGTGGACGCGGAAATGCTTGGGCAGCCGCTTGAGGAAGAAGGGCCATCTCCTGCTCAGGAGTATTAGAACGCAAGTGTAGAATGGGATAGCATTCAAAGCTTTCAAGAAACCAAGACCTAAACCCTGCAAACCCAATATGCCAGGAATGCATGGGCTGCAAGCTTCTCCGCAAAGAGATCGCGGAGCTTCGGGCCGGCCTGAAGGCCATGCAAATGCAGATTTGCCAACTGGAGGCGGGTTTTTGCCAAAGCAATGAAAGCGATGTCGAGGAAGCATGTTTGATGTTGTCTCTTTCGCGTGCGGAAGGCTGACGTATTCCCGATAAACTGTTTGGTCAACGTTTCTCTAAAGCCTCTTCCGAAACTTATCAGCTCCCAACTGCCAGCCGAAGCATCAATATTCATGTAAATGCCTTGGCATGACTTGGCAAAAGTGCGGCCGCAGGAAGGAACGATGAGAGCAAATTCCAAATGCTCACCCATGTTGAATGTTGATAGCGGGCCCACGTTGTCTTCACCCCTTGCATCCGTCTTGATCGCCCATAGTTTTCCGACACCGCGCTGACCCCTATTCTGAGCCTATTCTTAACCGCCCAAGATGTTTGTTTGACCCCCCCCCCCCCCCACATATTGCATCGTTCCCCGTATGCCTGGGCAACTGTCATACCTTCAACTTCTCAACGCGCTTGCAACTCCACTGAAGCACAAATGGGCAACATACCCTGACCTGCACAGAGGGAACAGACCTCCGTCGCGTATCTTGCACACCGTCTAGGTTAAGACTGAGCGTGCAGGGCTCGATAGGTGGTGGTTTTGGCAAGCGGATACACTGAGAAAGTGAGGTCTGCGTGCAAAGCTTGGACCCTCTGAGAACCTCAGTGGTTCCGCGCAGCAGTGCGCGGATGTGCGCGTTATAATCTTCCCGCCCTTTGTGTGTGCGTGTTGGCGCACTCATCATTGAACCTGCTGATCTCCTCAGCTGTTCGGCTCCTGCTTTTCTCATGCAATTCTTGGGCCCGCTGATAACCTCAGCGGTTCCGCGTTTGGGCTGCAGAGAGGAAACATGTCTTGTGCAGCGTCTGGGGTTTTGACTTCGCCTGTGCGTGCAGGGCTGAATAGGGTGCCCCTCTCATCAATCACGAGGATAGGATTGCGGGTGTGCGCTCAGGTAGCTCCCATTTCCGGCTGATTGTTGGTCGTACCAAAAACAGACGTTTTCTCTGGGCAAGCTGCAAGAATCGGTCGCACCTGGACAAGTTCTTTGAAATTAGGGTCTCTGTGAGTTTACGTCGCTTTCTGTTTCTTGTACAGTTGCTTTGTGTGCGCATTTCTTACGGCCACCGCATAGCTGACGTGCAGGAGCACGCGTCGAGAATATGTTGGACGTTCTTGTTTGGGAGTCTCGGTAGCGGGTGTGGGAAACGTGCGCTGTGGTGTTAGTTGTGGGTGCGTGCTCAGCGTGTTTTCGTGGGTAGTTTGTCAGGGACACGCGAGAATTCCGGGAGCTTGCAGGAGGCGTCGGTGGTACCTCCACAATCACCAGCACCGCGTCCGAGTTTGGAGGCGCCATATGGGCACTGGTTTTGGTAAGCTGATGCAAGCTGTTAAGTAACCTTGACTGCAATTGCATAGGTATGCTGGCTGGTATAGCTGCTTGAGTCGTTGGACAGTGCACGCTTAGGACTTGGGAGTCTTGGAGAGATCGGGCCAAGACGAGGCCGCTTCCGGCTTTGCAAGTGCCATGTGCGGGAAGGGACGATGAATAGTATGCGGCACTTTCGGAAGTTGTAAAACCGGGGGGTAGAGGGGCCTCCACAGCCTCCGTTTTGGCCGCGGGGCCTTGATGTGGGAGAGCTCGAAAGAGGCCGGATAGCCATGTATCGACTTTGGAGGGTTCGGTTTGGACTGTTTCGGAGATTCTCGGATCTGACATTTCGCAATCTGCAAGGAAGACTCAGGGAATGCTAAAGAACCACGTCCAAAACGGTTCAGCCATGCATAGAGTTCAATTTCGCAAAAGCCGAGGAGTCCAACAAACCAATTTCCCAAGCTCGTTTACTGTATGGGCTGCCCCTAAACCCTAAACCCTGAACCCCCTGCAGGCTACAGGGACTCGCCCGAGAGAGAGGCCGAAGTCCTCCGCGCTGTGGCCCACACCAACATCGTCAAGCTGATTACTGCTTTCGACTTCGGTGGTAGCACCCACTTGGTCATGGACTATGTGGGGCAGCCGTTGGTGTCCGCGGAAGAGCTGCCCCCCACGACGATGCCGATGGCACGCCGGGGATCCAAACCAGTGGCACAGGCACCCCCGCAGACGGCCGTGTGGACATGCTGGAGACGAAGCAGTCTTCCGGCAAGGACACGTACTTCCAAGAGTATGGGCGCGATGTGGATCAGGAGCATGATGCCGATGGCGCAACTTGGATTATGACTGAGGGTACGGGCGTTCCCCGTGACTGCCGTGTGGAGCGTCTTGAGCTGAAGCTGGTGGAAGTGAAGCAGCTTTACATGCTCAAGTGTGGCGCGGACGTGGATGAAGATGCCGATGCCCACGACGATGCCGATGGCACGCCGGGGATCCAAACCAGTGGCACAGGCACCCCCACAGACGGCCGTGTGGACTTGCTGGAGACGAAGCAGTCTTCTGGCAAGGACATGTACTTCCAAGAGTATGGCCGCGATGTGGATCAGGAGCATGATGCCGATGGCACAACTTGGATTATGACTGAGGGTACGGGCGTTCCCCGTGACTGCCGTGGCTTGAGCGAAGGAGCCCTGCTCACCTCCAAAAAGGCGAGCTCCCCAGTCATTCTCACGTGGGCTGGGCCACGTGGGCTGGGCCACCTTCGCCGACATGGGTACGTCCACCGTGACGTTAAGCCGGACAACATTGCCGTCCAAGATGGCTGTGTCAGGCTGATCCAGGCCTGCCAGCTGCGTGGGCCGCCCACAGATATCTACAGTCTGGGGCTGGTGGCCCGGCTGCCAGGCTGCCTTGATGTAGTTCGCCGCGCGCTGGAGCAGCCCCAAAAACTACTTTACTAAATGTGTCGCCCGGGTTGACCGCCGCAAAAACTTCTTTATTATACTTTACGAATTGCATCGCTCCGTTTCTGCATCCCAAGAACTACTTGACTAAATGTGTCGCCCGCTTTGCCCGCCCCAAGAACTACTAAATGTGTCGCCCGCTTTGCCTGCCCCAAAAACTACTTTCCTCAATCAAGGGGGTTTGCAAAAATGACTTTGAACTTTTTTTTCTCGACTTTGGGTTTCTGGTTGGGGTGGGGGGAAGGGGTTGAAAAGTTCTGCATCTAGAGGTTGTACTCGTAGAGCCGATGATGGGTCAATTTTGGGAGCTGGTGCAAGTCCAGTTGGACTCGGGGAAGACCAGCTTGTGCAAGGATATGCCAAGAATGCTGGGGGCATTTCCAGCAGGGATCTGTGTCAAAAGCCGCGGGATTGCATTGTGCGCGTTCGGGCTTAGAGTTCTTGGGAGGGGGGGAGGAGGGTGGGTGGCTCCTTCGTAGAAGAAGAAAACCACCCTTCTACTGTTAACGTAGATGTGCGCCGGCTGCCCTAGGAGTGGCTGGGCCGCGCACTTCAGTCTTAGAGCCTGGAGCCAGAGATCCGACATATATACATATATATGTGTATATATACATATATACATATGTAATATATATATATATACATAGATATAGATTTAGATAGCCTAGATAAAGATAGTCGCTCCCTTGTACAGTTTCTCCCAATGCTGCCAGCCAGAAGCCCCGTGTGTTGTAAGTCCTTCACTAGCTCTTCCTCTCTGTCGCTTCTTCTGGCATGGAAGCGCCTGTGCATGGCATGAGTTCGCGTCATAGGCCACAATAGCTACAGCTTGGCAAAAAGTTAGGTTTCCGTGCTGCTTGACTGTCATATGTTTGCAACGATGAACTCTTTGGACTGCGGCTTAAGCGAGGGCAGCACTAGAGTAGAAGACGGATTGCACGCATCTCATGCGCTAGACTAGATTAGGGAGGATTTGCGCGATTGCGCACTTTTTTGTGTCCCATGCATCCTCAACCCTGTGCTAAACGGATTTCACGGCCAATGTTCTTTGTCGGGTCGTAATAGCGACCATTTAGGTTGTGCTCCGCGCATTCCGTGCACGGGCGCCAGTGGAGTCCGTTTGCAAGCTGAGGGCAGCTTAAAGAAAGATGAGGCGCGAAGGGACGTGACAGACCAAAAAGCAGTAACATGAGCCACACATGAGCCTTGCTTCTTCTGGCCTGCACATTCTGTCTTACGTGACTTAGAGGTATACTGTCAGGGACCACTTTGCGCAGGAACTTGGCAGCGTCTCTTGCTATGTAGACAGATCCATCAACATTCTGGCCTTCCCCCTGCTTATGGCATGTTACCGTTTTCTCCCCGACAGCCGAGGAGTGGCTAGGCCAGGAGAGTTGAATCGCAAGGCAGGTACCAGGTGTGCCCAGAATAGGTCTAGCATTGGGCCTAAAGCCGGGGACTCGGGCATAGAGAACTAACCTAGTTCCGGTTTGGGGGGCGTTTCATCACTTATATGCCGATGCCATTCCGCAGGACGAAAGAAGCCCAGAGCTTGTTTGCAGGGCTGCTGACACGTCGCAATTCCACTGAGCAAGGGCCGCGTGCTATTCCCCTTGGCAATCCCCACGTACACCCTGTTTTACCCTTAAGCGAACGCCCAAGAAACAGAAGCCTGTGGGCGCAAAGCCACAAGCCTTACAAGCTTCGGGACACCCACGCTGAGCCCTGAGCAGGCTGTTCGTCCACTCATGCTGTGCACCCAAGTGTCTGCGATGCTCGCAGGCGCGCCCAGGGTTCGACAAGAAGGGTTTAGGGTTTAGGGAACAGCCACTGGCGAGTTTAGCAGGAGCCCAGTATTCAACAGCTATTCATTCATGGCAGCTTTCATCCTCTTCAGGCTGCTCGCAACATGAAAAAGCACTGCAGACAGTTTGGCAAGGGCAGTTAGCGTGAAAGCTAAACCCCGCAAGCCCACAAGGACTCTAACCCCAGTCTCTGGCGAACACGACCTGTTTCAGGGGCATTACACAGTGGCTGTGAGAAGGCTTTATATGAATATATTATTGCTATATTCTTATATATTTAACATATTCGTAACCGTATATGTCTACACTCACATATTTCCACATGTTTCATCTTGATGTGTTAGTGTATATCATCGTGTTTTTATGAGATGGCATGTCATTATTACATGCATGTCTTATTATGTTAATCTATTAGTATATTAATTTGTATATGACAATCTTAGTATATTGTGATTAGAAGACTATTCTACTATTATGTTATTTTAGTATATTCGCATCTTACTATGTTGTCATATAGTTTCATATTCTTATATATTTATACTATTATACTATCATACTATTACACTACTATATTACCGTATGTTGTTTTGATGATATGAGTGTATGTTTGTATTATTATATGATTGCACGATCATGTTAATTTCTTTTGTTATTTGTTGTTATTGTTACTAACAATATTCATATAAGTACAATTTCGTATTCTATATATGATACACATATATATATATATATCGAAACCGCAGCCCAGTCAGTTGAGTCAGCCCAGCCCCTCGCAAAGCAAGCAAGCCACAGTGTACAGGACCTCCGCGGATGCCAGGGCTCAATGCTTTCGCCGCCGAGGCGGTCCACGTGGGCCAGGGGGGGTGGGGAGAAGGTCACAGGTCGTTGAGGGAGGTTCAGCTTGAGCATCTTGGGAATATAGTAAATAGTAGTACGACAGTATACTATACAGAATTCGTGTACTGTGGCGCAGTCCGAAGTCCTTCTCCTTGAGCTTTTCCCCGTTCCAGTGCAGGTCTGCCTGCCGATGCACCGAACCTCCTCCAAGTGAGTATTTGATCAAGATGCTGGGCATCGCACACATCCCATGCCATGCTCCCAGCGTTAACTTCGCAGCCTTGTCGCCAGGCATAGGCATGGCATAGCCAGCAGGGGCGAGCATCTCTCAAAGGTAGTCCAGTGTTCATCAATGGCCAGCATGCCAAGCCCGACTGAACGTTCTAAGCCCCAGTGACCTGTAAACTGACTCAGGACACGATTTAGAGGCGCCGTCACGGTTGGGGGTGTATTCATTTCGACAAGGTCCGGGTAACACCTGCTTGAGTAGGACCGGCGGTGAGCTTCAGGCACTGGTGAGCTCCAGCTGTGCTTGCGCTCGCCCGGCCGGTTCCTCGCCGCTAAAATACACCAGCGTGTTCGAGGCGTCGGCGCCCTTCGTGCCTGTGATTCGGCATGACCGTGAGCAGCTACTGGAACCGCTGCATGTTTGGGATCATCCAAAAACCCACATCATGCCAGCACAGTGTCGCGCGGCAGCTTGCGCGGCCGTTGTGGCTCTGTGTGAGGACTTTCCAAGGAGCCGCGGTGCCATAATGACCAGAGGGCCCACAGCCCACAAAGCAAGGAACAGTAGCCGTGTCCTCATGGTGTCCACGTAAGAGAGAAGCCCACACGGCTTTCCACATCTCCTGGGGCAGGGTGTTCCCTGTGCTGTTGAACAGAAGTGCCTGTGCCCACCAGGAGAGCCATCGGTTGAACATGATTTGGACTTGTGTTGCGGGTTCTTGGGGATGCAGAAGCCGTGACCGCTGTTTAAGGGAGTGGCTCCTCGTCCGCGGCCGCCTTCTTGACCCGATCAGCGCCGCCATAGCCCGCAGCAACGAGCGAGCCATCCGGCGCAGACGTGATGCCCCACCCTCCTTGTGCTTCGCGACATGAGGAGGCTCTACAAGTCCAAAGCCCCAGCTGATCCCTCCGCTGTTTCTGCCCACTTGTTTGTGGTGCCATGAGCTTGCCAGCCCCTCCCCTCCCCCACGCGTGTTGGCTCACCCCCGCATCCTGAGCAGACACAGCAAATACTGACTTGTGAACAGGCCCAAAGCCCGAAGCCTATCGCTTGCTTTGTGATAGCCCACCCGGTTCTGGCATCACGGCTCGATGTAAAGTCATTTCCCGCGAACGTAATCGACATTACTGCTATGCCGGTCTCTGGGCCACCGGAGGGATGAAGCCGGTACTACATGACAGCGTACAAGGAGATGGCTCCACAGGTCAAGTGCAACGCTGCAGTGACATGTCTAAGATGACAGGCTTGTCGTGGACTCTTCTTCATTCTTCTTCCATGGCTTTCAGGCGCTGTAAGCCCCCTCCTGGCATCTTGGGGCCTATGAATGCCGCACCGACATCTTGAGGCCAATGGAATGTTGGTCCCTTTTCAAGGGCTCCAGCTCGATGGCAAGGCCCAGAGTCCGTACAGCATCCCACGCGCGAAGCCCTTCCAAGACCGCATGCCTCGGCATGCGGGGTGCGTTCTGCCATGGGTTGCCTTCCATCTCAGACTCCAAGACCTCCAGTAGGGCTCGTGCTCTCCTCCACGGGCCCGAGGCCCATGGCACAGCACTTCACCTGACAAAGTGCATCCCTGCGCACGCGCGTCAGAGCATGCTGTGAGCATGCTGTGTGTTGTGCCCGACCCGGTTTTGGCAGTCGCTCTACTGGATTTGGTTTCAAAACGCGTACCAGGAAGGTTGTGTGGGCGGAGGAGATCAATGGGAGTCGTGTGTGGTTCTGTTGGGTTATAGCATGACACGAAAGAGATGTGACAGCGGTCGTGTTGAAGGGTGCCTTGTTCTTGCAGCAAGGCAACGAGCTTCAGCTCACTGTGCCATCCAGCTTTCGCTAGAATGCTAGAAGTGAGGCTCTGAGGTTCCATGTCACTCATGCCTCCAGCTACCTGTTGGCGACTCTGTTCGCAGCTTCTCCCGGGCGCACCCTTAAGTCCCAGGCACAGCCCCAGCACGCCAAGCCGACACTGACAGGGTTGGATGGAGCATGACGTTGCTGAGCGGCAAGGGAACACACTGGGCAGCTGAGTGCAACCGAGCCATCCCACTCACTCACTCGCTCAGTCGCTCTCTTCGGGTGTTAGTCGCCTCGAGCCGTCTTGGCAAGTTCTCCGAGAGCTCTTTAACC